AATTTTGAATTATTTTCAGTTTTGTTTCTGATTTAAAAAATTCCATGAAGTAAATCTTTGTACTCGTGTAAAAAATAGAACTAAGATTTCTGGGACAGATGTAAAATATAGCTTTGCATCTTATTTTATATACATTTATATAATAAATTTGAGGCTAATTTATTCCCCTTAGATTCTGTGCCTAATAATAAAAGCTAGGAATGACTAAGTCTCAGCACTGAGAGTCCTGACTACAAGGAGTATTTTCAAATTCATTCAAGGTTGACTGACTTGGACATGGTTTTACTTTTGTTCCAAATCTTATTTCTCCCCAATTCTTGGAAAAGTTTTTATACTTTTGGTGTAATATTAGCAGTTGCACTTCTTTCTAAATATTGTTCTGTAACCTTTCCCATAACAATATGTCTTAAAACTCTTTTGAATGCACATGAGTTCAAAAATTCTTTGAGCAACTTCATTGTCTTTATTTCTTTACTTGTATATACCACAATCAATTTAATGTTACATTTTCAGAATGCATGACAAACATCGGCTAGCTGCTCTGAAAACATCTTTGGGTGGGAGCACGAGTCCTCATAGAGTGAGCAGGGAACTGTCTAGTTCCAGCCACACCACTCATTCTCTGAGCCTCAGTTTTCTCTCACAGTTCAAGGAGGTTAATATTGAATGAGTTGTAATGACACAACCCTCATATGCTCTTGTCTTTCTCTATTTCTTCTTTGGATGTTCCTTCCTCTCTAACAGATATACACTTCTCCCACACCCTCCAAAATATTTTAAAAACTTGCAGGAGAGCAGTTCTTCCAGGAGAGCTGTATCTGCTGCCTGACTCTGATTCCTCCAAATGCCACAATGGGGGGGAAGGGGCTCAGATTAACAGGCAGCTGGTCCAGTGAAGCAGCTGGAGAGGGGAGGTTGTTCAGTTTCTGCTGTGAGGTTGTAGCCTGGGCCCTCAGACTCCAGCTGGATATTAGTGGAGACTCAACACTCTTGCAACTCACTAGACTTGGTCCACTCTGAAAGAGGGAAAGTCATCATTCTCAATTGCTTAGTTGGCTTGTTTTCTGTAGGGCTTGTTATCCTTGAGTCTACCTTGAGGAAATCTAAGAGGATGGGACTATCCTTGGCACTGGCCAATGCCGAAGAAAGAAGATGGCAGTGTCACAGTTAAGGTTTGAAAATGGCAATGGGGGCTCAATGGAAGGAAAGGACAATAACTTTCATTTTATAGGTGGACAAATCGAGGGTTGGGAATGTAAACGACTTCTTCAAGATGAATCAGGCAGCCAGCAACAGAGCTGAACTTCCTTTCCTGTGATGCCAAGTCTCAGTGGTAACTCCTACTCATGATGCCTCCACCACTGCCACTCATCAAGTGCTAATATTAAACAGTCCTTCTGTGTTTGTCAAGGAGGAGGAGGCATCATTAATATAAAGTTTTGCCCGGAGAGATGAGAAGATACAGAACCTTTCTTTAAAGCAACCTCCTGCAGCAGTAGCTTACCTATTGAATTTTTGTATATAGAATCATAGTGAAATTTGCCATTGAAAAATTCTGTGATAATTCTTTTTTAAAAAAGTTTTTTTTTTTTTTTTTTAAAAAAGCATGTACTTTAGTATCAACACTGTTGGTACAGAGTCATGTCTTCATCACACCTTGTCTGTGTTCCTGAGAACAAGTCATTAAACCTCTTCCAGTCACAAGTATTTTATCTCTTAAGTTGTCAGCATCATATTTTATTGCCTTGTTGGGAGATTAAATGAGATAACAGGTATCATTGCTTTGTAAATGGTAGAGTTCATGGCATTTAAACATTGATGTCAATACTTATCAAGTGCTAAGAATAACCTGGGAAGTGTGCTACATAGGGCATCTTATTCCATTCTAACAAGAATCCTGAAAGCTAATGCTGTTACTAACCTCATTTTACATGTGAAAAAAGGTTAAAAAATTTAAGGAACTGCCTTCTTATGTAATCTTACATGACTCTTAAGTGATGAGGTTCAGATGTTAACTAAAGCAAGTGTGACCCAAGCCCATGTCTCTGTAATAATGTTCTCCTACCTATTGTAAATCTCTATTTTTATGTCTCGAATTTCTTTAGAGGAAGGTGTATCAAGTACCAGGGGAACCTGTCTCCCTTCTCTTCTCTGAAGAGTGAATAATGGAGTCCATGAGGGCAGGGACCCTTTTTATTCATGTAAATCATGGCATTATGGGGGTTGAATACCACTGTATGATTGATTTTATATTAATTAAGAATTTAACAGATTACCATACCAGAATGTGTGATACAGTTAAAATCAATCACTCTGAGATCCTGAGATTCATGAGAATGTCTTGTAGCTATTACCTTACACTGTCTGATCACCTGTAAGAAAGAGGCTCTTCAGGCCTTGCTGAGTCATTGCATCCTGCCTTCCTTAGGTCGGACATGAGAGAGCAAAAAGAAGCATCATCTTTCTACTGTCCATTTAAAATGCATTTGGAGTTTCCTTCATCAAAGCTTATCTCAAAACTTGCATTTTCTTAGCGTCTGTGTGCTGCATCCTGTTGGCACCAAAAATCCTCAAGAGAACCAGCACGGAACTATTTAAAGCTTCGTGACCATACCCCAAACAGTTTCAAGGGAAAAAGTGGTGGAACTCCTGAGAGTGTGAACCTCTCATTTTCTGGAACTGAAGTCTTGAATCTTTGCTCATTCATCTTCATGTGTCAGAGAGCCTGGCATTTGAGTACCCACCTCCCACATGCACAACAAAACCCTCTTCCTCAGTGTATGTGCAAAGCACAGAAGCAGACCCGAGTCCTCACACATCCCCTCATATGTCACAACATATCTCTTTGGCCATTCCTGAAAACAGGATCAGTGTTCACAGGACAGAATTACAAGTTCATAGATTCTTATAGTCATCAATGCTCAGTAGCGGAAGGCCTGAACATGAACCCCAAACCCCACTTCTTATTTTACCATCAAAAATGCTGACGTGAAGGGATGTTATTAGGATGTTATTGCCCAAGGACTCACAGCTGCTCATGCTCTTTCATGAGACCACAGCAGCAATGACTCTCACAAATATCACTCAAAGTCAACGTCATCTTCATGAATCTCAAGGCAAAAGCTGCCCTTTCTCTTCTGCTGTGTTAGCCCAGGCATTGGCTGCCCTGAGTGAACAAAGTAGATGGAAAGTAATGATGAATAGCACAGGGTGAGGTTGCCCTGTTTACCTAGCGTATCAGATGGACATCTCGAATCAGCTGGTTCACAGTCATTCCAGTGTTTCCTGGATGTAGTTTAATTAGAATTTCAGCTTTGGGTGTTGGGTTTTTTGCTTTGTTTTGTTTTGTTTTGAGACAGAGTCTCACTCTGTTGCCAGACTGGAGTGCAGTGGTGTGATCGTGGCTCACTGCAACATCCACCCTCTGGGTTCAAGCGATTCTGGTGCCTCAGCCTCCCAAGTAGGTGGGATTACAGGCATATGCCACCACACCCAGGTAATTTTTGTGCCTTTTGGAAGAGACAGGGTTTCACCATGTTGGTCAGGATGGTCTTGATCCCCTGACCTCATGATCTGCCCACCTCGGCCTCCCAATTCTTATTTTTTTTAATAAAGGTAATGTCTACCTTTATATCTTACACAGAATTCTCACTGCTCTCCACATCTTTGCAGATGCCCTACCTTTGTGTCATTTCATCTATTGATTCCAATAAATAGCTTCAATTAGTTATTTCCAAATCTTCTTTTTATGTGGTCATGATATTTCTTTCACCCTTGAGCTTTAAGAAGCCATCCCTAAGTGGCAGTGGTGGTTTGATGGAGGTGTTGAAGGGACACGCCTAGAAGTTTAGGTGACGACGGCCTCATCATGGCCTCCAATCTGTCCTTGTAGTTGTGTCCTCGCCAGGTCTATTCCTGAACATGGATTTCCCGCTCTGATGTCACTATTGTAGTTGGAAAATAGACAGAATCTGAGTTCTTTTTTTTGAGACAGAGTCTCGAGAATCTGAATTCTTTTAGTTTGTTTCAAATGACTGAGTCCTGACTTAAGAAGGAAAAAGAAAAAGGAGTACAATGTGGAACAAGAGTCTTCTGGCCCTAAAAATAAATAAAGTGAACTTACCCGAGACTAGAAAGAGAGTCCTTAGCTGGGGGAGAACATATAAGAAGAAGAGTGGGGTAAGCAGTTTCTGAGGCAGAGGAGACCTCTGCCCTGCTTTCTGGGCATGCAGCCAGGAAGACAGCAAGATCCCAGGGAGAGAGTAGCCATATTCCATACCTTGGCAGTCATGTCCATTGCTGGTGTACAGACATTCCTGCATACAGAAGTAGCAGATAAGTCAGACTCAAAGAGTGATGTGAACAGGGTCGTGACTATCCCCCAGCATGATGGCTATTGCTCATGATAATGATCATTGCTCCAACAGTCACTCCTGCTGAGGGATAGTCACTACCCTGCTTCCTACCACCTGGATCGCTTGGCACTGTGTGAGATTCCAGAACTGTGGCCCAACTTTATGTGGAAAGTAGCAGGGCAGGGCAAGGGGACTCCAAAAAGGACTGGGGTTAAATTTCCCACTAAGCCAGTAGGAAAGCATCCTCAAATAGAAATTAATTTGTTCTAAGCATAAAGTGACATTTCTTGTACACTTAAATTTATGGTCATGATTCATGCCAGCAAACTTCTTTGCAATTTAAAGCCAGAGGTTTGTTTGCTTCATGATTGAATTTAGAATTTATTTTTTCCAAAAGAAAATTTAGATACCTAGAAATAATCACTAGGAGAGAATTTAAATCAGTTTAATAATAATAAATAGGGGGAGAATGGGAAATGGGAGAGCATTCAGAAAAAGAAGCATGGCAGGCTTCATACTTAGGTGATGGGTTGATAGGTGCAGCAAACCACCATGGCACACATTTACCTATATAGCAGACCTGTACATCCTGCCCGTGTTCCCTGGAACTTAACAAATAAAATAAAATAAAATAAATAATAATAATAGTTTCAGTATCATGCTTTCTTGGTATGCCCAGGTATAGCCCAAGGAGTAACAGAATCTCTGGAATTAGAGTTAAGTCCAGTAAAGAAGGAGATCTGAGGGGCATAGATGTGCCTTAAGTGATGTAGTGGTGAGTGAGAGAAGTAACTGCTAATTGGCAGCACTGAGCTCTTTCCTCTCCTTTCCATTTGATCTCTCTTCTTAGGCCATCTCCTTTCCCATTCCCATTTTGCTGCATCCTCAGTATGTAAGTAAGTTGAAATAACCATAATTTTCATAATTACTGGTCATTTTCTTTATGATTCCAATTCAAAGGATTATTCATTTTCCTCTTCAAAGGAATCACATTTTATTTTGGAACTGTATGTGCAAAAAACTTGGAAACTTGTGGAAACTCATTCTTGAACTTCCCTGGACATGATTCAGAAGGTGATTGAGGAAAGGGCTGAATGTCTGGCTTTGGAGGGTGGTTGTGAGGCGGCAGTGGGAAGCTGGGAAAATTGGCTTCAGGAAGTGGCAGCACCTCATCTTTTCTTAGAGGAGGGAGTCGGTACACAGATCCAGTTTGTCTGGAATGGAAGGGACAGTGTCCTTTACATGGACCTTGTCTTCTCAAGTGCCCAGGTCGTGGGCCGTGGCCATGGCGATGGTGACCTTGGCTATGGGGTGGTGGGTCACAGGGTCCATAGTCTTGGAAATCATGGTAGTGGGGATGGTGTCCATGGGGGTGGTGTCCATGAGGATGCTGTCTATGGGTACTATGTTCATGAGGATGATGTGCCTGGGGATGGTGTCCATGGGGGTGGTGTCCATGAGGATGCTGTCTATTGGTACTGTGCTCATGAGGATGGTGTGCATGGGGACGGTGTCCATGGGATTGGAGGTCACTGGAATTATGATTATAAGGATGTCTTTGGGTCCTATTAGTGCCAAAAGTGACATGATGACATCTTGAGCAGGACATGGGCACCAGAGGAGCACCTTGTTGAAGTGGGGGTCTGTCTGAGTGATCTTTGTCATCTGGAGAGGGTGGGCATCCATGTTTGTGTGGCTTGTGGGGATGATGTTGATCTCTGGACCCATGGGGCTTAAATGGAGACTTGGTAGGAAGAGAATGCTCATGCCCACCCCATTGGAAGGGACATCCCAAATTAGGTGGTACACCACTGATGTTTCCATGTTCCTGGAAAAGAACACAGAAAAGTGCCTATCATCATGTAACATAAAAGAAGGTGTTAGACACTTAACTTGATTTATACCAGTGGCTACCAGATCATAGATTCTACAAATCAGTTTTAAAGGTATTACAAAAAAGGATCTCAAATTATTATCTAGCCCAGTTGATATTTAAAATATAAACAACTATCATTTACCACCATCGTTTCACAAAAGAAATGATTTTTTTTTGAGACTGAGTCTCACTCAGCCATGCAGGCTGGAGTGCAGTGGCACAATCATGGCTCACTGTAACCTCTACTTCACAGGTTCAAGTGATTCTTCTGTCTCAGCCTCCCAAGTAGCTGGGACTACAGGCCAAAGCAACCACACCCACCTAATTTTTGTATTTTTAGTAGAGACGAGATTTTACCGTGTTGAACCCCTGGTCTCAAGTGATTCACCCATCTCAGCCTCCCAAAGTGCCGGGATTACAGGCACGAGCCACCATACCCAGCTTGGAATGAAATTTTGATTAAAAAAAAAAAAAGATCCAAAAACACAATATCAGAATAAAGGATTGTCCTTTAGATGGATAAATGTTAGATATAAAAAGCTGTATTATTCTTATCTTTCTTATTTTCCCTACACAGAGTGTGAAACAATGTTATGGCCTGGCACCCATCTGTAGACCAACATTAGAAAACTAGCATTATAACTGATGTTTTTAACTGAGGCCTGATGGTATCAACATCCCTTACTCAAAAAGCTGAACCCTTGACCTCTTCCTTCTCCTCCTTGTTTAGAGTTTAATTTTTAAAAATAGCTTACAGAGCCATGTTCCTGGTGAGAATCCTGGCCTTTTGTTTCTTTTTCTTTTTTTTTTTTTTTAGTTTGGGATATAAATGTTTGGATTATTTTCAGTTTTTTTTCTGATATGAAAAATTTCATGAAGCAAATCTTTGTACTCATGTAAAAAATAGAACAAAGATTTCTGAGACAGATGCAAAATATGTTTTTGCATCTTATTTTATATGCATTTACATAATAAATTTGAGGCTAATTTATTCCCCTTCGATTCTGTGCCCAATAATATAAACTTAGGAATGACTAAGTCTCAGCACTGGAGTCCTGACTACAAGGAGCATTTTCAAATTCATTCAAGGTTGGTTGAATTGGACATGGTTTTGCTTTTCTGCCAGTTGTTACCCCTCTCCAATTATTGGAAAAGTTTTTGAACTTTTTGTGTAATCTGGCGATTGCACTCCTTTCCACAGTTGTAGGTTACTCTCTGTATCTTCTTTCTTTCCTGTCTCTCTCTCTCTCTCTCTCTCTCTCACACACACACACACACACACACAGAGCTCTAGGAACCAACAACACTGTTTGTGTACATATGTCACTTAATCTGGCACTGCAATGACAAAGTCTGCTTAGACAGCCCACCTGAGGGTCGAAGACTTCACAGTTTACAATGAGATCTTTTGGGCTTTCCAAGTCCAAGGCTTCTACATCGTAGAACAAAGCTGCTCTGCAGAATCCAAAGACCTACAAAGGAATGAGGAACCTGTTAGTGTATGTGTCCAGGTGGTATGAAGGTGAACAGCCAGAGATAGCTTCGAGACATTCAGAAAAGGAAGAGGTGCTTGAGAAAAATCAGGGTTATATGATCAGCTATCCACGCCAATTGTTCAGCAATCTTTCCTCATCAAACTTAGGGGAAAGTGCTGGTGGTGAAGGGTATATCATTCAACTTGCTGTGGTTTCTTTCATGAGCGGGCACCAGCACTGCGCTTCCCCATGGGTGGTGGTGAGGAAAACCACATCATTGCTGCCTTGCCTTTAAGCCAACCCTTCTGCCCTGGCGACCTAAGTTGCCCATGCCTAGGAGAATGAGGAACAGTGTCATAGAAAGATTTTTACAACTTCAGCTGGTCCCTTGGAGGAAAGTGTTGGACAGGAGGGAATCTGATTAGCATAAAGATGGGTTTTTATGGACATTGTCAAGGCGAGTGTCTGCTGGCTCCACCCTAAATACAAGGACTACAACTGCCTGGCACTCCTGTGCTCTAGAGGGCCCTAAACTAGCTGTGAAAGATCGACTAGGACAAGAGGATGGCTGTCTGCTAGAAGAAATCATTAAGTATTGAGGTTCTCAGTATGGTTTGGGAATCAGAGAGACCTATGCTCATCCTGGCTTCTCCATTTCCTAGATATGTGAGTTTGGGAAAGTTACGAAAGATTTCTGAAAGTCAGCCATTGTAAAATGGAGATAATATTATGTACTCACAGGTTGTGGGAGAACTTAATTAAATGAGAGAATGCTGGATCCAAGATGGCCGATTGCTAACATCTCGGGACTGCAGCTCCCAGCAAAAGCTCAGACAACGAGAGGACACCACACTTTCAGACAAATTTTGGCTGCTCACGGAGCAGAAGATTCCCAGTGGAGGAGCTCCACGGGTCACCAGTGTGACTCTTGTGGCCGGCGCAGTGGTTTTGCCGGCACCTCGGAGCATCAGCTCTCGGTGCAGAGTAAACGGGACTGGCACCCCTTCTGACCGAGGTTTGGAGCTCCGGGAAGGCAGAGTTGCCTATTACCAACTCAAGAAGGAAGCCAGACTGGAGATTCCTGGGCAGAAAAGCACCATCAGTCTTAACGCTGCTGTTTTGGCCGGTGCAGTGGGTTGCTCATATTTCGGCCCTGGGAATTAACAACTTGGACGTCTACTCAGAGACCTAATTTGAAAGTTGGTAATTACAAAGATGACAGGTGGATAAATTTACGATGATGGGAAGAAACCAGCATAAAAAGGCTGAGAATACTCAAAATCAGAATGCCTCTCCCTCTGAAGAGGATCACAGTTCCTCATCAACAAGGGAACAAGACTTGATCGAGAATGAGTGCTTCCCATTAACAGAATCAGGCTTCCAAAGATGGATAATAAGAAACTTCTGTGAGTTAAAAGAACATGTTGCAGCCCAATGTAAAGAAACTAAGAACTTTGAAAAAAGGTTTGACGAAATCCTAATGATAATAGACAACTTAGAGAGGAATATAAGTGAATTAATGGAACTGAAGAATACAATGCAGGAACTCTGAGAAGTATGCACAGGTTTAAACACTCGAATTGTTCAAGCAGAAGAAACGATATCAGAGGTAGAAGTCCAACTTAATGAAATAAAATGAGAAGACAAGATTGGAGAAAAAAGGATAAAAAGGAATCAGCAAAGTCTCCAAGAAATGTGGGACTATGTGAAAAGACCAAATTTACGTTTGATAGGTGTACCTGAATGCAACGGAGAGAATGAATCCAAGCTGGAAAATATTCTTCAGGATATTATTCAGGAAAATTTTCCTAAACTAGCAAAGCAGGTCAATCAATATTCAACCCCAGGTAATACAGAGAACACCACAAAGATATTCCTCAAGAAGAGCAACCCCAAGGCACATAATCATTAGATTCACCAGGGTTGAAACGAAGGAGAAATTACTAAGGGCAGCCAGAGAGAAAGGTCAAGTTACCCACAAAGGGAAGCCTATCAGATTTACAGCAGATCTCTCAGCAGAAACTCTACAAGCCAGAAGGGAGTGGGGGCCAATATTCAACATCCTTAAAGAACAGAACTTTCAGCCCAGAATTTCATATCCAGCCAAACTAAGCTTCATAACTGAAGGAAAAATAAAATCTTTTATGAACAAGCAAGTACTCAGAGATTTTATTACCACCAGGCCTGCTTTACAAGAGCTTCTGAGAGAAGCATTACACATGGAAAAAAACCAGTATTAGCCTTTCTAAAAATATACCAAAAGTAAAGAGCATCAACTTAAAGAAGAATTTACATCAACGAATGGATAAAACAGCCAGTTAACATCAAATGGCAGTAATCCTAAATTTAAATCGACTAAATCCCCCAATCAAAAGATGCAGCCAAAACCCAACAGCATGTTACATCCAGACCCATTTCACATGCAAGGATACACAAAGACTCAAAACAAAGGGATGGAGAAAGATTTACCAACCAAATGGAGAGCAAAAATAAATGAATAAATAAAAAGCAAGAGTTGCAATTCTCATATCTGATAAAATAGATCTTAAAGCAACAAAGATATAGTGGTAAAAGGATCAATGCAACAAGAAGAGCTAATGATCCTAACACCCAGATACATAAGACCTATAAAGAGAGTTAGACTCAACAAGACAGAAAATTAATAAGGATATCAAGAACTCGAACTCAGATCTGGAACAAGTAAACTTAATAAATATTTATAGAACTCTCCACTTTAAATATACAAAATACACATTCTGGTCAATACCACATCACACCTACTCATAGGTTTAAATGAAACATTGATTGGCCATTATTAATACCCATTTTTTTTTTGGAATAAAGCAACATTTCCCTTCTCTCTCCCTCTTTTTCTTCCTCTTTCTTCCTCTCCACTCCTTTTTTTTCTTTCCTTCTCTCAAAAAAAGAAAAAAAAGAAATCAACTTGTAGACCTCTAGATCCGTTGGCAATGTCTCTCTCATTGCTCGATTTCCTTCCTTCCCTTCTCTCTCTCCCTCCCTCCCTCCCTCCCTCCCTCCCTTCCTCCTTCCCTTCCTCCTTTCCTCCCTTCCTGCCTTCCTCCCTTCCTAAAAAAATAAATAAATAAACAAAAAACAAAATTAAAAATAAATGAGAGGATGCTGTAAAACACTTATCCCCGAGCCTCTTCTTCAGCTCTGATGCTTCAGCTCTGGGTTTACATTATCCACACCAAGATCATGAAGGGTTTGTTGGCCATAGGCTTAGGTGAGGGAGGTGTCTTTTCTGGTGCCAGTGGCCACTAAAAAGGACTCTAGACCTGGTTCAGTTTGGATATTAGAACAGCTAGAAAAGGCATTAATGGATGGTTTCTCCCTTTTGACCCAGGAAAATGTGTTGTTAACCCTCAGAAAAATCCTGGACTTGACATCATAGTTAAAATTCCATTTTCTAACACACTCTAGCTGAGTACGCTTAGGTAACTGATTTTAATTTTAGGTCCCCTTGTCACAAGGAAATGGAGGCAGATACTTGCTTTTCCTTGTCAGCAAGGTTTTCATGAGGCTCTGACGTGGCAATAATAGATGTGGAGGTGTTTCTTTAACTGTAGGTCACCATGCAAGTGCCAGGTAGTATTAATAATGTCTTCTTGCAGGTACATAGGATCTATTTGTAAACGATTAGAGGAAAAAAATCCCACTGGACTTTGTATGAGAATAACTAAGTTTTAATCTCAGTTTGGTTGTGAACATTGGCAAGACCTTTCCTTTGCTGAGCTTCAGTTACCTTCTCAATTTGTCAGGTGGGATTCCTGTGAGTGTCAGTGATGTGGAATGAATAAAACCGCTAGGTGTAGGGTCTTGGTACAAGTTGCTATAGTTTTAACTAAGCCTTTAATCCTAACAGGTTAAGAAACTTAGTTTTAAGTTTAGGTGTATATCATGTATATTTTAAAATCATGTTCTTATGATTTGCTTATGTGCTCTGTGCCTCAGTTTCCCTATCTGCTAATTTGGGATAAAAATAGTATCTATCTCATATGGTAGTGTGAGGCTTAATAAGTTATCATAGGCTGGGCTTAGTGGCTCACACCTGTAATCCCAGCACTTTGGGAGGCTAAGGTGGGCAAATCACCCAAGGTCAGGATCAGCATGTTGAAACCCCGTCTCTACTAATAATACAAAAATTAGCTGGGCGGGGTGGCACATGGCTGTAATCCCAATTACTTGGGAGGCTGAGGCAGGAGAATCACTTGAACCTGGCAGGTGGAGGTTGCAGTGAACTAAGATCGTGCCATTGCACTCCAGCCTGGGCAACAAGAGCGAAAGTCCCTCTCAAAAACAAAACAAAACCAAAACAGGTTATCCTATGTGTAAAGCACTTAGAAGAGTGCCTGGCAGGTACTCTTCCCAGATAATACTTTGTATTTCATAGACATTTCTTCCTCCTCCTTCTCCTTCTTCTTCTTCTGCTTCTTCTCTTTCTTTTTTCTCTGTGACACTAGTCAATGATCACAGACATTTCTTATACTCACATTAGGGCGTCTGGGGAAATGGTTCCTGGAAAAGTTCCGCACAGAGAAGTCCATGTAGTAACTGGTTCCTTCCCCTCCTCTCTAGAACAGATGGGATCAAAATAGTTTCAAGACCAGACAAAGAAAAAGGAAAAAAAAAGCAGTAGATACCTACCATTCAATATTTTGTAAGGCAGTATGAGAATTCAAAATCACCAACACATTTCATTTTTAAATGGTTTCTGTGGCACCTAAGTGATAAGGCGAATACCATTTCACTGAAAAGTTTCACATAATAAATACATGATGAAGTAGAGTATGAAAAATCACCCCTCCTGCACTCCAGCTTCTCAGAGTTTTCATTCTCATTGAATCGATGTGTTTCCTCTTTAAGTGTTTTCCTAGATTTGTTACACATACTCAGGTAGATCTGAATATTTCATGTCAATGGACTTAGAGTCTAAGTACTGTTCTATAACCTGCCTTTTTCTTACCAATGTGTCTTGAAACTCTTTCCAGTGCACATGGGTTGCAAACATTCTTTGAGCACCTGCATGGTACTCATTTCCTTACTTGTATGCAACACAATCTATTTAACGTTGCATTTTCTGAATGCATAGTAAATGTCAACCCGTTGTTCTACAAGACAGCTCTGGGCGGGAGCACTTGGGTCCTTATGGAGAGAGCAGGGAACCATCTAATTTTAGGCACATTACTGGGTGTGGTGAGGCCATTTCTCTGAACCTCAGTTTTCCATCGTAGTACAAGAAGGCTAGTATTAGATGATTTATAATGACACAACCCTCATATGCTGTTGTCTTTCCCTGTTTCTTCTTTAGATTTTCCCTCCTCTCTGTCAGATGTCCACTGCCCTACCCATCCTTCAAAAAACGAAAGTGTTTCAGGAAGCCAATTTTTGGTATTTTTTTATACCTGCTCCCTGTGTTTTATGGTCCCAAAGGTGGCCAATTAAAAGGCAGGTGGTCAATTGAGGCAGGTGGAGAGGGTGTGTTGTTCAGTTCCTGCTGCCGGGTTGGAGTCTGGGCCCTCAGACTCCAGATGAACCTTGGTGGAGACTCACCGCTCTTGCAACTCTCTCGATTCGGTCCACTCTGAAAGAGGCGAAGGCATCATTCTCCTCTTTGTACTTCTCAAGGGCTTTGTCGGCTTGTTTTCTGTAGGGCTCAGTATCCTCAAAGAAATCTAAGAGGACGGGACTGTCTTTGGTATTGGCCAGTGCTGAAGAGACTGGAGAAAGAAGATGGCAGTGTCACAGTTAAGGGCTGTACATGTTAACGGTGGCAAGAATGACAATAACTTTCATTTTACAGATGGGCAAATTGAGGCTCGGAAGAGCTAAGTAACGGCTTTAAGATCAATCAGCCATTCAGTGACAGAATTAAACTGCTGATTCTTCCTTCCAGTCTTTCTGATCCTCATGTCTGTGTTGTGACCCCTACTCACGATGCCTTCACCATACCATTGATAAAGTGCTAACATATATACATGTATTTTAAATAATAGAGATGGGGTCATGCCACATTGCCCAGGCAGTCTCCACCTCCTAGGTTCAAGCAACCCTCAGGCCTCAGTCTCCCAAAGTGATGGGAATATAGGTGTGAGCCACTGTGCCAGGCCACTAATATTTTAATAAGCTCTTCCTATTGTGGCCAAGGAGGAAGAGGGAGCATTAACATAGAGTTTTGTCCAGAGAGAGGAGAAGATATAGCTCATCCTTTCTTCAATGCAACCTCCTATGGAAGTAGCTTGCTTTTTTGTATATAACAGCATATTTGGATTTGCTATTTTTAAAAGGAATTCTGTGATAATTCTTTTTGAAAATGTCAATTAAAAGGGTATGGAATTTAGAGTTAATACTCTTTGGATAGTGGTATGTATTTACAATATCTTGGCTTTGTTCTCAAGGCCAAGTCTTTAACCTCTTTGAGCCTCAATTATTTTGTCTTAAATAGAAAGTATCATAATCTCTACTTCATAGTCCCAAGTCTTTACTTCCTCCCAAGATTATACAACTGGCAGATGGTGACTCAAGCAAAAGCAAGTCTGACACTCCAGAGCCTGCATGTGTAATGATGCTAACCTACGTCTCATAAATCTCTATTTTTATGTATTGAATTTCTTTAAAGGAAGCTGGATCAGGACCAGGGGGAACTTGTCTCACTTCTAGTCTCTGGAGAATGAATAATAATGGAGTCTATGAGGGCTTTTCTTTCATGTACATCATAGATATACCTGAATACATATGAATACATATTAATATATATGTACATAGATGAGACAACTACCACTGTATGATTGAATTTGTAGTAATCAAGAATTAATTAGCAGGTTAGCAGATTACCGTACCAGAACTTGTGGTGCAGTTAAAGTCAATCACTCTGAGATCCTGAGATTCATGGGAATGTCTTATAGCTATTACCTTACATTGTCCGATCACCTGTAAGAAAGAGACTCTTGAGGGCTTGCTGAGTCACTGCATCCTGCCTTCCTCAGGTCGGACATGAAAGAGCAAAAAGGTGATGCAGCATCCTCCTACTGTACACTTAAAACGCATTTCCTTCATCAGAGCTTGTCTCAAAACCTGCATTTTCATAGTCAATTTCTGTGTGCTGCATCCTGTTGGCACTCAAAATCCTCATGAGAACCAGCGAGAAACTATTTAAAGTATCATGACCATACCCCAAACATTTTCAAGGGAAAAAGTGGTGAAACTCCCAGGAGTGTGAACCTCTCATTTTCTGGAAATGAGATCTTGAATCTGTGCTTATTCATCTTCATGTTCTCCCCCTGTGCCAGAGAGCCTGGCATTTGAGTACCCACCTCCCACATGCAAAGCCAGATCTTATTCCTCAGTGTATGTTCTAGATGCTGAACAAGACCCAACTCCTCACTGCAAGTTATCCCTTTGGCCATTCCTGAAAAAAGGGCCATTGTTCATAGGACGCGATCACAGGTTCACAGATTCTCATACCTACAGACTGCCAAGAGTGGAAAGCCCTGAGAGTCTGTGAGTTCCTAAACCCACTTCTTACTTTGCAGTCAAAAAACACCGAAGTGGAGGGATGTTATTAGATGAATGCCCAAGGACTCACAGCTGGTCATGCTCTTTCATGGGACCACAGCCCTGCTGAGTTGTCTTGAACTGGGTTCCCGGGAAAGACTCTCAAGAATATTGCTCAAGGTCAACATCATCTTCATGAATCTCAAGGCAAAAGCTGCCCTTTCTCTTCTGCTATGTTAGTCCAGGCATTGGCTGTCCTGAATGAACAGAGTAGATGGAAAATAAGAATGATAAGAGCAAAGCGAAGGTACCCTGTGTACTTACTATATCAGATGCACGTCTGGAACCAGCTGGCTCACAGTCATTCCCGTGATTCCTGGATAGGACCCAGCAGTTAGATTCTTGCACATCTAAGGCTAAGTAATATATAGTTGCAGTTTCCTGAGGAATGCCAAAAGCAACATGTGAGTACCACGTGGAAGCCTAGTAGGTTTTTTTTTTTTTTTAATTAAGGCCATATATTTCTTTCTTTTTTTTTTTTTTTTGGTAAGTTTTTTGAACATGTTAGCAAACTTTATTCTTCCTAGATATATTTTAATTAAACTTTGAATAGCAAAGCATTGAAAACTTTACAAACCATCAATTATCTTAAAATAGTTGAGATTCTTTTTCCTTTTATCCCTTAAATAGTCTAAGCCAGGGTGGGTTTTTGTAGACACCCCTATTTTCCTAGGGCATGTAATCGATTCTCAAATCAACTTCCTCCAAATAGAAATTCCTGTATGAACAGGGCCAGTCTATGGTAAATTAATTTAGATGATGGTGTTAGTTTTACAGAATTCCTGTTCCTCTCCCTGTCTTTGCAGATGCCCTACCTTTGTGTCATTTCATCTATTGATTCCAATAAATAGCTTCAATAAGTTACTTCCAGGTTTTCTTTTTGAGTGGTCCTGATGTGTCTCCTGCCCATAAACTTTAAGGCGCTATCACTAAATGGCAGCGGTGGGTTAGTGGAGGTGTCATCACCTATACACACCTAGAAGTTTAGGTGATGACGGCCTCATCAGGGCCTCCAATCTGTCCTTGTAGTTGTGTCCCCTCGCCAAGGTCTATTCCTAAACATGGATTTTCTGCCTTGATGTCACTGTGCCCAAAGCTAAATCCTCTCTCTTCCCTTGCAAACCAGCTGCCTCTCCACTTTCCTCATCTTTGCCAGTGGCACCACTAATTACATATTGCCTTAGCCTCTGGGGTAAAACATGTAAACCTAGGAGATGTCTCTCTTGTCCTTGCTTTTGCTATCTAGTCACCAGGCTCTGCATAGCCTTTCTTGTAAATGTGTCTCATGTCTATTCCTCAGTCTCATTGCCCTGCCTCCCACTACCCGAGTCTGATCCTCATTCTTTCATTCCTGAATACATAAAGAGCTTTCTAGTTCATGTCCCTATCTTTTGCCTCAGTTTCCCCAGGCAGACCAGGTCCTCTCTCCACCCACTCACTCTCTATGCTAGTTCTCAGTAGTAGCTCTGTGCTGATGCATCCTGTGCCCTAACATGTGACGACAAGCCTGTTATGGGACTAATGGTCACTGAATTACTGGTTGAATCCTAAATTCCTACACACCTGTTCTCTGCAACCCGCTGTGCCTCCCTCTGTGATATTTTCAGAAGGGTAAATTGTCCTCTGCAGTACTCCTTGTCTGGCCTCGCTAATTTCAGTTTTTCCATCAGAGGAAGGGTAGGTTATCTGGGGGGCTTAGAGGGAGGCTTCATGTCTCTCTGTAATGTCTGTGAGCTCCTAGAGTCCAATTTAGGCCGGCATGTAATCTAAGTGAAGACAGTAAGCTTGCTTCACCTCAAGATAAGCCCACAGGCTCTGCTTCCACCTGATGGCTGCTCCAGAGCCCACATGGAACTTCTGGAACCCCCCTGCTTATATTCAGTGGCTCCCTAACACCCTTCCTCCTGATTCCCTACCCTCCTAGAAGTGCTGGTGCCAGGAATTCACCAGGAACACCTTTCACAGACCTGTTCAAATCCTACCCATGCATTATTACACAGCGGAAGCCTCCTCCCATCTAGTCTCACTAAATCTCCCCTCATTAAACTGCTCCGGTACATTTACCACTCCTTTTATCAGTTGGCTATTGTTGGGGCTCAAAACATGACACCTCAAAGTATGGTACTTTGTCATGCTGAGTCCTTTGAACTGAAGGAAATGGGAAGGGCAAGGCTTGTCTGACCTTCTCCTGCCCCTTGTTCTCCTACTCTGCTTTCTCCCCCAAGGCAAGCCATAAGAACTAAAATTTCTCTTCCGCAGGGCAGATCACAGAAGATGGAAGCCCTCTCCCTGAAAGAATCCATAAATCCTAAAATGTGAACCTAACCTTCCCCCTGGGTCTTTCTTTGTAGGAGCTGGCCATAAAGAAATTCTCTGACCCACTCTGTTTGATAGTAGGTACTCAGATCTGCATACCAGAGGGATCCTGCTCCATTCTTGGGGCCAAGAAATGCCACACAGAGAGGTCAAGGAGAATTCAAACAGACAGACCTTGTGGGGTCCTTCCTTCAGTCTATGGCTCTTAGATCACAGCCTTTTGTCCCATCTTACTTCTGCGTTCTGTACCCTCTTCATCAGTTCTAAGTATGCAAGTGGGCAGTTTCCCTGGATATCTGGGCCTTCATTTATGAAGACTTCTGTGTCAGGTAAACCTTGGGTTAAATAAATTTGTATATTTTCTTCTGTTAATCTGTCTACCAGTTTTATTTCAGGCTCAGTCAGGAGCCTTAGGAGGGTTGAGAAGACTTTTCCTTTTCTTGAGTTTATCCTAACTGACACAGTTGGCCTGTATGTGCCAGCATATTATTGTTTCCTGGAGGCCAAGGCCCACAGTTTGTTCTATTGTTTCTCTGGCAGTACTTAGCATGTAACTGAGCTCAGCTTAAATGCTTATACGCACTCACAAATTAAATCATAGTTAAGGGCATACTAATAACACATGTTATTTTGAAGGAAAAAAGAACAATTTAGAGCAGCCATCAAAGCCAAATAGAAAACTCTGACCCAAGCCATCCACTGTACAAAGCAGTAAGCAAAGCGGGTAGAGTCACATTCGCCCCTGGTGCATAGTCTCCCAATGAACCCTGCCATTGGCCATTCCTCACCACTCTGTCCAAATGGGCATCAGCAACCCGCAGCAATTGGAAAAGGTAACCATCCCGTCGCCTTTTATTGATCAGGTCTAGAGCTTTCTCGGCCTCCGGCTCAGCAGTATTGCAGTCAGTGGGACTCACAGCACACGAATACTGCAGTGTGATCAAAAGCAGTGCTGCAATGAATGCCTTCATTTTGTTAAACCATTCCTTGCTATGATCTTCCACCGTGGAGAATTTTATACAGACTTTCTGAGGCACACGCAATTAATTAAACAAAACCTTTATACATTTTCCTTGTGTAACTGGGGATGTTCACCTTGACCCTGAGTTCAAATAACCATCAACAAGCTGTAAATGATTAGTGGGTCCTGGGGTCAGAAAGTTGAGAAATGCTGCTGATGAGAGCGTGGAACCGTGATCTGCACAGATCTGGATTTTTCTAGTAGGTAGCAGATCCAAAGTACGTTTTTGAACATAAGCACTGCCTATGCTGATGTAGGCAGGAGGTCTAGGGGTAATTTTCCTCCATCTGCCTGTCTGTCTCAGCTGGAAATCTCCATCACCAGTCAGTGGACTGATGGATCATGGCACTAAAACTCCTCAATAGATGGCAGCTGCATTATCTTAGGGAGGTAACGTGTTAAACAGGGACCATCATAAAAGGAAGTGACTTTAGGTAAAATAGAATAATTAAGAGGCTATCATTTTGTGGTCAGATCTGAATTTCTTTCTTTTTTTTTGTTTTTTTGAGACGGAGTTTCGTTCTTGTTCTGGAGTGCAATGGCGTGATCTCGGCTCACCTCAACCTCCACCTCCTGGGTTCAGGCAATTCTCGTGCCTCAGCCTCCTGAGTAGCTGGGATTATAGGCATGCGCCACCATGCCCAGCTAATTTTTTGTATTTTTAGTAGAGATGGGATTTCACCATGTTGACCAGGATGGTCTCGATCTCTTGACCTCGTGATCCACCCGCCTCGGCCTCCCAAAGTGCTGGGATTACAGACATGCACCACCGCGCCTGGCCACTTATCCGATTCTTAGTTTCCTCATTTATAAAATATGGGTTGTTACCTCTTGGCAGGCTTGTGTGATAATTAAATAAGAAAACAACCAATATGAAGCAACCAATATAATTCTTGGCATAGAGTAGATGCCGAATAAGTGATGCTATTTATTATTATTATGTGCCTGCAAAGAAGTTGGGGACACCTCATGCCATCCCAATTCTCAGTGGCCCTCAAAGCACGCCGAAAAGAACTGGTTCATGTGGAAGAGGATGGTGGTGAGAGCAAGAGTCAAATAGTTGGATGCCCATCCCACTGTGAGAGGGGATCAGCAGTGGGGGAACTGGGCTCTGATACAGCTGACTGCCTACCCTCACCCTTCAGAAGAAACCCATATACCTACATGTAACCCTCAGACCAGAAGAGGCAGCAGCATCAGAAAGGACCAGAGGGAATCAGCCTAGGTTCCATCCTCACTACCCACAGCCAGTTAGGCGTCATCGCCATTCCTCCCTGTTCTGCCTCTACCATGAGTATCTGTGAGGGTCCACATTCATGTCTCTCAGACTTGGCTTCATATTAGAATCACCCCAGGAGCTTTAAAAAGTCCTGATGTCAAGGGCCCCCTCCAGGACAATTTAATCAGAATCTCTGGGAGTGGACTCTGGTATGGGTCATTTTAAAACTCCTAGGTGATCCAGTGTGTGCAGTCAAGGTTGAGAATTACTGGGATTCTAGAGACAGCTGAAGAGAGGGAAAGGATTTGAAGAGAGAAAGAAAAGGGAGGTATTTGAAAAGTAGACCTCATTTCCACAAGTCACAGGGTTAATGAGTTTTGAATAATGTTTGCCAATAAACTTTTAATGTCAGTAACCCTGGCTTTTAAATACCCAATGGGACCAGTCCATTGTAACTGAGAATGACAGGAATGTAGGGAATCTGCTCAAGGTGTTAAGAGGCTACAACCCAGTGCGGAAGGGGAAAGCTCCTGATGAAAACAAAAACTATTTTGAGTGTTTGTTATTATCAGTTGAGCTCCTTAATGAAGCCTTTCAATTATGGCTATATTGGCTGCACCCTACATGGGGTGTCCTGGGTGAGCCAAATGCTGGTGTAGGGAAAGGAGGGGAATGTTGAGGGGCTGGGAAGAGGTATCCAGAACAGGAATATGATTTTTCTACATTACTGATCTGCTGAGAGTAAGCGTACCTCAGGGAGCCTCTTCCTCTTGCTTTACTGAGTCTTTAAGAGCGATACAGTACTCATGATGCCATTCTAGCATCTGGAGTAGCTGCAGGGGAGAGAGCACATTAAGGGTGCTGGGATGGTCATGGTCGGGAGGAGTCAGAATGGTAGTAAGTAAGAGAGACATTCTGTCCTGAGGACTCTTGATGATCCAGGAAGTGACATTTGGCTTTGGGGATGGTTCCTGTTAGCATTAGGGAAACCACAGAGTGGCCTCGGATGGAAGTGCTGACTTTACACAGATGGTATCTGGGCAAACTAAGGCAGGTAGAATCTTCATCTTCACATTTTCTTTTCTTTTCTTTTCTTGTTCTTTTTCTTTAGACAGAGTCTTACTCTGTTGCCCAGGCTGGAGTGCAGTGGAGTCATCTCAGCTCACTGCAACATCCGCCTCCCAGGTTCAAGCAATTCTTCTGTCTCAGCCTCCCAAGTACCTGTGACTACAGGTACCCACCACCATACCCGGCTAATTTTTGTATTTTTAGTAGAGACATGGTTTCACCATATTGGTCAGGCTAGTCTCGAACTCCTGACTTCAGGTGATCCACTAGCCTTGGCCTCCCAAAGTGCTGGGATTATAGGAATGAGCCACTGCATGCAGCTGTCTTAACATTTTCATTCTGCATTTAGGTTATTTTGGGTGTCCTGGCTATTTTATCAGAAAAAAGAGTTACCTAACAGACTTTTATTTCTTTTTGAGACGGAGTCTCGCTCTATCACCCAGGCTGGACGGCAGTGCTACAATCTCAGCTTACTGCAACCTCTGCCTCCCAGGTTCAAGTGATTCTCCTGCCTCAGCCACCTGAGTAACTGGGATTACAGGCGCGTATCGCCATACCTGGCTAATTTTTGTATTTTTAGTAGAGACAGGTTTCACCATGTTGGTCAGGCTAGTCTCAAACTCCCGACCTTGTGATCTGCATGTCTGGGCTTCTCAAAGTGCTGGGATTACAGGTGTGAGCCACTGTGCCCAGCCACTTAACAGAATTTTTATACTTTAAAGCTTTTTGACTCATAATAGAACACATGCTCTTTGCAAAAAATGTGGAAAATAAAAAAAGCATAAGGAAAATTCACCTCTAATTCTACAACCATGAGGAAAACCAACTATTTATAATATATAATTGCTTCATACACTTTTTGCTATTTGAATATACGTAATATATATATATTTTGCAGGGAGCATCACACACTGGGGTCTGTTGGGGGCGACTAGTGGAGGGACTGCAGGGGGTGGGGAGTTGGGGCGGGATAACATGGTGAGAAATGCCAGATATAGGTGATGGGGATGGAGGCAGCAAACCACATTGCCACGTATGTACCTATGCAACAATCCTGCTTGCTCTTCAGATGTACTCCAGTGCCTAAAGTGCAATAAAATATATATATATACACATATATATATATATAGCATCATTAGAATCATTCTGTACATACAAGTGTTTCTTTTCCTCCACTGTAGTTGAGTATGTATTTACTTATAACCTCTATTTTTTTCAGGTATTAATAAAAACCATATAAGGTTTATAAATGTTTTTGTGTTTTTATAGGATTTTAAATTTTTGAGTTATTTTTAAGTATACAATTTTTAGTCATAAATATAATCCCTGCACAAAGTAAAAAAGCAAACAGAATATTTTAGAATATTATAAAATAAAAATTAAGCCTCTTTCCTCCATTCTTTGCCCCCCAAACCCTTCGCCAAGATAAGGACTTTTAACAATTCCTTGTTATATGTGGTTTAAATATTGTATTTTCCCTTAAGGTTATACCTTGAGGACTTTCTCAGATCATTAAATATTCTTCAGAAAGATTATTTTCGAGATTACATAATATTGCATGTTATATATGCGTTAATGTATTCAGCGTTCCCCAGTTTTTGGCCATGCATATTTTTTCCAGTTATTTGTTCTTATAAGTCATGCTACAATGGACCTCTTTGTAAATCTCTGTTTCTTTGAGAATCACTAGACTGGTTGACAGAATTTTATGACATTTAATTTTTTGTGATAGGAGTCACTTTTTAAAGAAAACACAGTTTTTGTCAGCTCCTGAGTAGCTGGGATTATAGGCATGCACCACACCCGGCTAATTTTTATATTTTTAGTAGAGACAGGGTTTCACCATGTTGGTCAGGCTGGCCTCAAACTCCCGACCTCATGATCCACCTATTTTGTTAATTTATTTTAAAAATGGGCTTTATTATTTCAGAGCAGTTTTATGTTGACAGCACAAATGAGTGGAGAGTACAGAGTTCCTGTGGAGCCGCTACATATGCCCCTCGCACTCACAGTCTCCCCTACTATAAACCTTTGCACACTAGCAGAGCATTTGTTACAACTGATGAACTTACAATGACACATCGTTATCATCTAAAGTCCATGGCTTACATTAGCATTCACTCTTGATGTTGTCCATCTATGGGTTTCAGCAAATGATGAAATGTATCCACCACTGTAGTGGCATACAGAATAGTTTCACTGCCTTAAAAATCCTCTGTGCTCCACATGTTCCATCCCTGTCTCCTTGCTAGCCACTGGCAACCCATGATCTTTTTACTGTCTTCATAATTTTGCCTTTTCTAAAATGTTATATAGTTGGAACCATACAGTACTTAATCTTTTCAGATTGGTTTCTTTCACTTAGTAATATGTATTTAACCTTCCTCCATGTCTTTTCATGGCCTGAAATTCATATTTTTTTTAGTGCCAAACAATATTCCATTGTCTGGATTTACGTATCCACTCACCTGGTGAAGGACATCTTTGTTGCTTCCAAGTTTTAACAATTATGAGCAGATCTGCTATGAATATCTATGTGGGGGTTTTTGTATGGACATAAGTTTTCACCTCATTTGGGTAAATACCAAGGAGTATGACTACTGGATCATATGATAGGAGTATGTTAAGTTTTGAAAGTAACGCCAAACTGTCTTCCAAAATGGCAGTACCATTTGCATTCCCAGCAGCAACGAATGAGAAGTTCTTTTGCTCCACATCCTTGCCACCGTTTGGTATTGTCAGTGTTCTGGATTTTGGCCATTCTCACAGATGCATAGTGATATCTCATTGTTATTACAATTTGCATTTCTTTGATGACATATGAAGTTCACTAAAGTTCAGCATTTTTTCAGATGTTTACTTACCATCTTTATATTTTTGGGGATGAGGTTTAAATCTTTTGCTTATTTTTATTTTGAAAACTTCTCTTTTAAGTTCATGGGTACCTATGCAGGTTTGTTATGTAGGTTAACCCATGTCATAGGGGTTTGTTGTACAGATTGTCACCCAGGTACTAAGCCTAGTACCCAACAGTTTTTCTGCTCCTCTCCCTCCTCCCACCCTCCAGCCTCAAGTAGGCCCCAGTGTCTGTTGCTTCCCTCTACCTGTCCATGTGTTCTCATTATTTAGCTCCCACTTCTAAGTGACAGCATGTGGTATTTAGTTTTCTGTTCCTGCATTAGTTTGCTAAGGATAATAACCTTCAGTTTCATCCATGTTCCTGCAAAAGACATGGTCTCATTTTTTTTTTTTTTACTGTTTTACCCATTTTTAACTTGGGTTTTTCATTTTCCTGTTGTTGAATATGTTCATTTTAAACATTCACCTGAGATAACTCTTAATATTATATAACTAGAAATACCCAGCTCCCAAAATTTTGTTGTAGATTAGTGTTAGTTTGCAAACTACTGATGACTTGAACACAAGAGCCTGAGATCAGTAATAAATGCAGCATTTTGCAACTGTTGACAAGGATGTAGATTAGCTTGTCTGCCTGAAGTCTCCAGAGTAAGAAAAAAAGATCAAGGACTGAAAGCCAGAGAAACAGCATCTGAGAGATGAGCCAGAGAAGAGGAACCAAGGTGGGACATGAGGGGAGTGGTCAGAAAGATAGAAGAAAAACCTGGAGGATGTGGGACAAAGTCTACTTGAAAAAGTCTAGGCCAGGCACGGTGGCTCATGCGTATAACCCCAGCACTTTGGGAGGCCGAGGCGGGTGGATCACGAGGTCAAGAGATCGAGACCACCTGGTCAACAAGGTGAGACCCCTGTCTCTACTAAAAATACAAAAATTAGCTGGGCATGGTGGTGCACGCCTGTAGTCCCAGCTACTCGGGAGGCTGAGGCAGGAGAATTGCTTGAACCCAGAATGTGGAGGTTGCAGTGAGCCGAGATCATGCCATTGCACTCCAGTCTGGGTAACAACAGCGAAACTCCATCTCAAAAAAAAAAAGAAAAAGTCTAAAAAGCAAGCAAGGTCAGCATTGCCAGATGCTTGAAAGTGTAAGTAAAAGTGAACAGAAATGCTTCTTTTTTTAAAATTTAGAATAAAAGATTGTTAGGGAACACCAAGTCAGTGGGTTATAGGAAAAGAGATGGATTCACATTGCAGTGACCTAAGGAATGAAGAGGTGGTGAGGAAGTGGCAAGCATGGGAACAATCTAGTTTTTCACAAATTAAGCCATGGAAAGAGAAAGGAGGTGGCAGGTAGGAGGAGCCACAAAGTTTGAGGCCCTTCCCCATCCTTTTACCAGTATGGAAGGGCCTTATAGAGCACCCCTTGGGAAACCCCAGCTGGGGCTTGTAATGCTTTCTCTCTGTTTGCCTCAGGCCCATCCTTTGACTTTCTCTGCCTGGCCTTGTCTCCCAGGCTGGCTCCAGGGAACTGAATAACCCAGGCTCCCCTGCTGGCTAGTTTACTATTGGGTTGAAAGAGCCAATGGGAGGAGGAGATTGGAAGGAAGCAGGAAGGGAGGGGAAGGGAAGGATGCTTATTCCCTGCTCCTTCCCGCTCCAGCACCAGGTTCTGCATGGGATGCACCACTCCACCTGCAGGGTGACTTCTCCAAATGACAGCTCCAATAGATGGAGGAAGCCAGCCACCCCTGCTCCTGCTCAGCATCAGGTGGCAAAGGCTCCCTGCTGATGTTGTTGTCCAGGTGCCTCAGCATCCCTTGACCTTCCCTTCGCCTGGGCCATAAACCTTCACTCAAGTTCCCTTCACTAAAGTCTTTTTCTTATTTTGAGATGGAATCTATCTCTGTTACCCAGGCTGGCAGCATACAGTGGCATGATCTTGGCTCACTGCAAACTCCATCTCCCAGGTTCAAGCGATTCTTCTGCCTCAGCCTCCTGAGTTGCTGGGATTACACCCTGCCTTCTTCCTCCCATCCTGCTTCCTTCCAATCTCCGCCTCCCATTGACTCTTTGAACCAATGACCTAAGAAATGAGACCTAAGGAATGAAGAGATGGTATACCACCAAGCCCAGCTAATTTTTGCATTTTCATTAGAGACAGGGTTTCACCATGTTGGCCAGGCTGGTCTCAAACTCCTGACCTCCAGTGGTCCACCCGCTTCGGCCTCCCAAAGTGCTGGAATCACTGGTGTGAGCCACCACGCCACAACAACTAAAGTCTTTTTAGTTGAGCCACCTGAGTACAATTCTGCTCCTTTCAGACCCTGACCAACAGGGTGTAAGACCCCACATGACACCCCCATATAATCACTTCCTTATGAGAAGCAGATAAGAGGAACAGAGTGCAAATATTGTCTGCATCTCTTATGCAAATTACCCCGAGGCCTATGTGCCTCTTCTAATAGCGGCCAGGATAGAGGACAATAGCTGCATCTGCAAATTCTCTGTCAAAATGTCCAGAGTCCTATCTGGTGTGCTGGTGTGCATGTGCACATATATATGACCGAATGAGGGGAAATTGATCCTGCAGTGTTTGAAAGATGAAAAACATAGACTATAATTGAATCCTATAATGGGCCCTCCTCTGTCTCCTGGAGAAATTGTAACAGTGATGAGAACTCTCATGGTCTGGTACTCCCACAGTGTCTACCACAGGCCACATGTGCACTTCTCTTCCATGTGCCCCAGTTTTAAGTGAATTACCCCACTCCTGAGACCTGGAGACTTCCAGACAGATGAAAAGAGGTAGAGGGTTGGAAATGGTATGGGCCATATGCAGCTAATACCTGTCCTGGAATTAAAGGGAATTTAGGGACTGAAACTGTGCTGGGTCTCAGTGTCATATGTCTCTTGGTGTTAGGGAAAGTATCTTTACTCATGCAAGGCTTTCATGCTGAGATTTGAGCACATATATACTGCTGAAAGGATAAGAATCTTTCTAAGTGAGTGGTTGAAGACATACAAGAGGCATCTATCCATGGCATGAGACTGCTCAGTTTAGAAGGGGATGCAGCCCGGGGTACAAGGCAGTGTACAAGGTAGAGTGCAGCCCAAGGGCGGGCTCAGTCTCATTATTTCCATTCCCAGTCAACATGCTGAGACCAAGAAGAGTCAAAAAGGTGTCCTTCATTAGCCGCTCTTTATGTGTGGGCACTCTGTCTCTGTCCATTGTCTCCACTGCCTCTCATCTCATGTGGTGCACCATACCCCTACAGAAGACTCTGTGTGATTCTCACAGCGGAAGGACAAGAGGGCTAGGATTCTTGGCTGGCCCTGGGCACTCAGCAGTGCGTGCTTCTTTGGGGAAAGGCAAGACAACCAGCTTCTTCTCCACAGGCCCCAGGAAGAGGAAGGAAACATCCAGGATTTCTCCCTGAGAATTCGTGGCTAGATCCAGATGCACAGGGAAGGCCTCTTGAGGGCCCTTTTCCTGGGAATTTTCATCATCCAAGTCAGGAAGGTATTGGACAGATCCTCTTGGCCCAGCTTTGTAGGGGGAGTCTGTGGTGGGTGTGTTTTTCTGCTGGGATTCTTCCATCTTGGGAAGGCTTGTAGGTTTCTGGTTAACAGCAGAGTTTTCACTTCCAGTGGCTGGAGCCTGGAATGAGAACATTTTTAAATGCAGAGTTCCATAGGGAAAGCCCTCCCATGCCTAGTACCAGCCTAAGCTGATCTGTGCCTTTCTGTTGGAACATTTCAAAGGGAGACTAGGTAGAGGGATTAGAGGGATAGACCTCCTGGTGAAAGGATTAAAAAACAAAACAGATAAGGGCCAGGGGAACCAAGACCTGTAGAAGCTTGACTGTAAGTTTCACAATTTCAGAGGTGAATAATGTCCCAGAGAGGTTCAATGACTCACTCAAAGTTTCCAGCAAGCTATCTTTCTGTTTTTAGTAGTGGCAGCAGCAGGTGCCTTTCCTTGATTGTTTATTCTGTACCAGGCCCTGTACAGCACCCTCTATTTGGGTCCTTTAACTTGGTTCTCACAGGGATCTGAATGATGCAGGTGTTGCAATCCCATTTTATAAACGAGGCAGCCAAAACTCAAAGAGTATGTGCCTTTTACACAGCTCACAGGTACCAGAGCAAAACTGGATCCCAACTGGCCTGTTTCAACCGCCCTCTCAAATATACCAGGCTACCTTACAATAAGTGCTCAATAAACACTTCTGGAAAGGTATTGAATGTTTTCATGGAAAGGGTTTCTCCCTGTGGCTTGAGGTAGGGTTTCTTTGGACACTGAATTTAATGTCTCAGAAGCTTGAATGACATCCAAGCCTGTAGTTCCATTTCCGAATTTGTCTTGCATAGTCTCCAGGGCAGTGTCATGACTAACACAAAGCATAACAGGTCTTTGACTAGCTACGCTGTGGGCGTGGCCTCTGGGTAGCATGAGGAAAGTGGTGAGCAAGGTGGTTGGGAAAAATCAAAGGAGGGGTAAGGTAGTGGCAGGTAGCTGTAGATAATCTGCTCTTCTTCACAGAAAGACAAGCAGTTAGATTGAAAAGTACCTGTGATTCAAAGAAGTCACAAGTCGCAGAGACAAACTCTTCCAAACCTGCTTGGATCCAATTACCATTGCAAATACCAACAGGCTAAAAAGACAGAAAAAATACAATGTCATGTGAGTATTACCAGTGGTCATAGATGGAAATCAACTAGCTTTCTCCTTGTGTAGATACACAGCCAGTCAACATTTTTATGCTTGTACCATGTAATAGGTAGACTCTGAGTTAATTCTTTCTAGATCACCCCTACCAAGAAATCATCCAAATTAGGTGAGACTGCCTCCAACAATGAGAAACTCAGTATTTCTTGAGGAACAAAACTCTGTTTATCAAAAAGTTCTTTTGTTGAGTGGAAAGCTATGTCTGTACAACGTCTACCTCTTGGCCTTAGTTCTACTTTGGGGTCAGTTAGAAAACTTGTTTTCATCTTTTATGTAGCGGCCCTTTAAGTATGTTCCACCTGAGTTTTCTCTTCTCAGACAAAATGACTCTCAGCTCCTTAAGATCAATATTAAAAATCAATTGTCTTTCTACACACTTGCAATGAACAATCCAAAAATGAAATTAAGAAAACAGTTTCATTACATTAGCATAAAAGAGATAAAATTTACCAAGATAAATAAAAGGTTTGTACATGGAAAACTACAAAACTTTGTTGAAAGAAATTAAATGAGTTCTAAACAAATGGAAAGATACCACATATTCATGGATTTGAAAACTTAATGTTAAGATAATGTACTTTCCACATTGATGTACAGATTTGATGCAATCAAATGTATCAAATTTCCAACTGCCTTTTTAAAAATAGAAAATGAACAAACTGGTCCTAAAATCAGCATGAAAATTCAAGGGATTCAGGATACCCAAAGCAATCTTGAACAAGAAGAACAAAATAGGAGGACTCAAATTTTCCAATCTCAAAACTTATTACAAAGCTATATAGTATTCTAGATAGTGTTATACTAGTATAAGCTTAGAAGTGTGGATCAATGGAATAAAATTGAGATTTAAGAAATAAACTCTTGGGCCGGGTGCGGTGGCTCACGCCTGTAATCCCAGCACTTTGGGAGGCCGAGGCGGGTGGATCACGAGGTCAAGAGATCGAGACCATCCTGGTCAACATGGTGAAACCCCATCTCTACTAAAAATCCAAAAAATTAGCTGGGCATGGTGGTGCATGCCTGTAATCCCAGCTACTCAGAAGTCTGAGGCGGGAGAATTGCTTGAACCCAGGAGGCGGAGGTTGCAGTGAGCCGAGGTTACACCATTGCACTACAGCCTGGGTAACAAGAGCGAAACTCCATCTCAAAAAAAAAGAAATAAACTCTTAACATTTATGGTCAATTGATCTTCAAGAAGTATGCCTAGACAACTATGTGAGGGAAAGAATAGTCTTTTTAATAAATAGTGCTGGGAAAATTGGATGTTCACTTGCAAAAGACTGAAGTTGAACTCCCTACCTCACACCTTGTACAAAAACTCAAAATGTGTCATAGACCTACATATAGGGGTTTATTTCTTTACTCTCAATTTTATTTCATTGATCTATATATCGTTCTTATACCATCAAGACACTGTCTTAAATACTGTAGCTCTGTAGTAAGTTTTGAGTTTGGGAAGTATGTCTTCCTATTTTATTCTTTTGGTTCAAGATTATTTTGGCATTCTGGATCCCTTGCATTTTACACATGTAAATCTTGGTGATTTGGGATTAGGCAATGGTTTCTTAAATATGACATTATCTTTTATTCAAAATAAGAAAAAATAGACATAAATAGAACTTCATCAAAATTTAAAACTTCTATAGTTCAAAGAACATTGTCAAGAAAGTGAATAGACAACCCAGAGAATGAGAGAAAATACTTGAAAAGTGTATATCTGATAAGCACATTGTATCCAGAATATGTAAAGACTTATTATTCAACAACAAAAAGATAAGCAGCTGGATTTTAAATGGGCAAATGGTTTGTATAGATGTTTTTCCAAAGAAAACATACTAATGGATAATAAACACATTAAAAGATGCTCAACATCATTAGTCATTAGGAAAATGCAAATAAAAATCATGATGAGATACCAATTCATGCCCAGAAGGATGGCTATAACCAAAAGAAAGATGATAATAGGTGTTGGCAAAGATGTGGAGAAATTGAAACCCCCATACATTGCTGATGGAATTGCAAAACTGATACAGTCACAGTGGGAAACAGTATATGAGTGAAAGGGTTAAACACAGTTGGGTTTTTTTTTTCATATAACAGCAACTCCACTCTGAGGTATATACTCAAGAGAAATGGAGACATATGTGTACATAAAAACTTGTACACTTGTTCATAGCAGGAAACAACTCAAAGGTCCACCAACATGGACAAACAATAAACAATATTTGTGCAGTAAGACATTATTTGCTAAGGAAGAGGTAAAACTATATCTATTTATAGATGGAGAAGCCTTCAAAACATTATGCTAAGTAAAAGAAGTCAGACACAAAAGACCAAATGCTGTATGATTCCATTTATATGAAACGTCCAGAATAGGCAAAGCCATAGAAACAGAATGTACATTAGTGGTTTCCAGCTGCTGGCCTGGGATTTGGTACACAGAGATTCTTTAAGTACTCCACAAAGTAAAGTCGCAGTGGGGAATGACTGTTAGTGGGTGTGAGGCTCTTTTGAGGCTAACGAAAGTGTTCTAAAATAAGAAAGTGGTGATGGTGGCACAACTCTGTGAAGATACTAAAAACAACTCAAGTACACCTTAAACAGATGAATTCTACAACGTGTGAATTCTTAATAAAGCTGTTATTGTGAGTCAATGAGAGGAAAAATATTCTTGGTGCATTTTGGCAGTTGCACTCCAACACATCGTGCCAGTTTAAATTCCCACCAGGTGTGTTTCCGATGGCTTCAAGGCATGCTTTCCTTCTTGGATCCCTCTTTGAATGAAGGCCTATTTGACCTTGTCCTTCTTAAAGAGTGGAATGGAGCACCATGCTGTATTACAAATGTAACTGGATTGGGTCAGACCAAAGCATTACCCACCACTGAGATTGCACTTAAAATTGAATGCAGTATGGATCTATCTAATCTCTAATTAGTCAGTTGCTCCTTGAGAGAAAGAAAAGCATCTGATGCTTTATGACACCTCATATGTAATTTATGTTCCACAAACACTTAAAGATGATCTGTGAACACTCAAATTATGAAGGCATTCAAGAAAACTCACCACAGAATCAGAGGACTGACGTGAACAGCTGCTGGCCTGGGATTTGGTACACGGTGATTTTTTGATTAGGTATTCCACAAGGTAAGAAGGGCCAACCACCCACTGTTATGAGACGAGAGTTAAGACATAAAACTCAAACATTTCGCCTGGGGAAAAGACCCAGGTTTGGCAGCATTACATCTGCAGAAACAATATGTCACCAGAGGCATTGTCAATGCACATATCTGTTCTGCAAATCCCCACACTGATCAAGCCATGTACCATGATTTAGTTATTATGTTTATAACTGCACACCTTTCTTCCCTTCTTTAAGATTTGAATGGGCACTAAACACCTTATTTTGCTTAGTTGATTTTTCCTTATGTAGAATTGTCTTTTAGATTTTTCTGCATATGAATGAAGTATCAGGCCAGGTGCAATGGCTCATGCCTGTAATCTCAGAACTTTGGGAGGCTGAGGAGAGTGGATTGTTTTGAGTTCAGGAGTTCAAGACCAGCCTGGACAACATAGTGAGACCCCATCTCTACGAACATTAGCCAGGTGTGGTAGTATGCACCTGGACTCCCAGCTACTTGAGAGGCTGAGGTAGGAGGAGTGCTTGAGCCCAGGAGGTGGAGGTTGCAGTAAGTTGAGATGCTACCACCGCACTCCAGCCTGGGTGACAGAGCGACTCTGTCTCAAAAAAGAAAAAAAAAAAAAAGAGAGAGAGGGGAAAAAAAGGAGGAAAGAAATCAACATAATCTAAATACAAATGAGGCTTTATTTTCCTTAATCCATAAAATTCAACACCCACTCTAGGCCTTAACGTAGAGTAAAAGTTATGTTGTAAAATGATCCATGATGAGTCAGGTATGAGAAGGTAGCAGTGAGCAGTGGACCTATGGACAAACCCCTAAGGAGACCAGGAGTCCATTTCTCTTCTTGCCTTAAGGTTGGGGAAGCAAAATCAAGTTACCTGACTCTTGTAGAAATGCCATGGAATAACTTAGAAACTGAAACATGATAGACTGTGTATCAGGTCTACCAAAATGGGGAAAGTAGAGAAAGCTATTTTGGTTCTAATCAAAATGAGTGCCTTGACATTCTCCTCTCAGCTTAGGAATCTACAGCAACAGTTATGAGACACACTGTGTAACTGGCTTGTGCATTTTAGCCTCACCTGGCTAGAAGCCTTGGTGATTTTGAAGAGAGAATACTGCTTAGATGTGCTTCCATTGTTGTATTTTGCAAGAGACTTGATGGCAGCCTCCAAAACTTGGGGATGTGAAGAGTCGGTGGGTAAGGGGCTTGGGCAGTCAGGACACATCATGTGAACCTTTCTTCTTGAAACTGTTGATGCCAATAACATACATTTTTAAATATTATTGACTTTCAATCCTATAAATCATATGACTGTAAAGAGGCAAGGATGGGACAAGGAAGACATTTTCTGGAATTAGAAGTTAGCTGTCAGCAGTGTTTTCCCTAATGACCATGTATTATTTTCACAATTAAAAAAAGAGAGCAAAGCAAAGCAAAGTTTTCACCTCACACACATTTGCTCTGAGAATTTTGTTCAAAGACACGTGATGTAGTATATTAATATAGGACCTTTTCCTCCAACAAGTTCAATATCTTTTCTCATTATTGACTCTGTAAAGTAGACTGTGTCTTAAAAGATTGAGATTTCATTGCTGCCGTGTCATACTTACCTTTCAGTCCCTAACACCGAACATCATATCTGATACATAGAAAGTGCTTAGTAAATGCTTGTAGAATGAATGGATAAGTGAATGACATAATAGAAGGTGGAAGCACATAAGCACATCCTGTTTGGTTAGAAATGCAAGTGAGATCTGTCAAAGGATACAAAATCACAGCTAGACAGGAGGATAAATTGTGGTGTTCTAGACCACTGCAGGATGACTACAGTTAACGATAAGATAAAATTCCAAAGAGCTAGAAGGAGAATGTTGACTGTTCCCAACACAAAGAAGTGATAAAGGTTTGAATGTAGTCTGCACCTGTCTAATCGCTAACTGGTCAGTTGCTCCTATATTAGGTGGATGCACTAATAACCCAATCTGATCATGATAGTTATGGAAATATCACTGTGTATGCCACAAATATGTATAACTATTTTTTGTCAATAAAAATAAAAATAGATTTTTTTTTTTTAAAAATGCGAGTGAGTCAGAAAACAAAATTGGTCAAGTCACTGTGTGACTAGATAGAATGATCACACCAAGTACAGCCAGAATTTCTATTTGGGAGAGCTGAGGGCAGTAAGCCTCGTGTGGAAGGCAGGATAGAGAATTTATCTTGAAGCTGCTTTTGCAGAGCAAACACATTGTTTTGAGTGATTCTGTGTTTATCTGCATGTATTTGGGGACTGGGGGAGAAAATGGGAGACTTATATCCACAGCTTGTCACTCATGAATCATCACCACCTATTACTTCCTGACCTCCCATAGCTCTGATATCTATGACTTCCATTTAAGTTCTGAGACTGTTTACTACTTGCTGTTCTAATTTATCTTAGGTGAATCCTGCCTTCATAACCAGGAACCTTAAACTGTGCCTAACAAAACGTTTGCTCACTTGCCTTGTTATTCAAAGCAACCAGCAGCATTCTTATCTCCTGGAGCTTATTAGAGATACAGGATCCCTGCCCCGACCCAGACCTATGGCATCAGAATTTGCACTTTAACAGGATCCATCAGGGGAGCCACACACAGGTAGTTGTTTGACAGGTGACCACATTCTGTTTTCCCGCACTGTGGATGCTCTCTTTCCAAAGACTTTCCCTTGAAAAAAGGAAGGCCCCAAGTAAATGCATGTGCGTATTTCAAACGTCATCAGTTTCAGCCTCATGTCTAGTCCATGTATTTACTTAACAACATTATTGACACCTTCTACATGGTGAGAAGTAAGGAAGCGTGCAACAAGGAAGAAGAAAGGATAAAGGATAAAATATTCTTTTTTTTAAATTGCATTTTAGGTTTTGGGGTACATGTGAAGAACATGCAAGATTCTTGCATAGGTACACACATGGCAGTGTGATTTGCTGCCTTCCTCCCCTTCACCATCTGGCATTTCTCCCCATGCTATCTCTCCCCAACTCCCCACCCCCCGCTGTCCCCATCCCTCCCTTATTTCCCCCCAACAGACCCCAGTATGTGATGCTCCCCTCCCTGTGTCCATGTGTTCTCATTGTTCAGCACCCGCCTATGAGTGAGAACATGCAGCGTTTGATTTTCTGTTCTTGTGTCAGTTTGCTGAGAATGATAGTTTCCAGGATCATCCATGTCCCTACAAAGGACATGAACTCATCATTTTTGATGGCTGCATAATATTCCATGATGCATATGTGCCACATTTTCCCTGTCCAGTCTCTCATCGATGGGCATTTGGGTTGGTTCCAAGTCTTTGCTATTGTAAACAGTGCAGCAATGAACATTGGTGTGCATGTGTCCTTAGAGCAGAATGATTTATAATCCTCTGGATATATACTCAGTAATGGGATTGCTGGGTCAAAGGGGATAAAATATTCTACGTGATATAAGACTTCAGACCCCAAATCATTACGTGTTCCCTGAGTAGTTTAGGCAAAGCTTTATAGGGATATAGATTACAAAAGCACCATTCCTTTCTAGAATAGAGAACATTGTGGAAGAAAATGGTGGTGGTCCTTAAAGAATAGGTGTGTTCCAAGGTCAGAGGTCATCAGAGGAAGGCAGGCTCAGCAGAGGGAGAGGCAAAAGCAAGATGCAGAGATTGGAAAGTGCAGTACGTGTTCAGAAAACTGTGTGGCGTCCAGTAGAATGGAGTGTAAAGTTGGTGTAGTCTGGGAAATAATGGCAGAGATAGCAAGAAAGGAAGCCTGAGGAACAGTCACAGAGATTATGCTATTTATGTCAGACTGCAATTTTAAGATCTGATGCAGGATATGAATGTTGAGGTAATTTAGTAAGATTAATTGTGGGAAGAGGAGGAGTATAGGATGAATTTCAGTAGGGAGGTAAGTACTGGAAATATTAAGAAACTGGTATTAAGAATAAGCAGCAAATAAGAATGAGAGATGCCCTATACACTCTTGGCAAAGCCCTCATTAAGTACTCTTTTCCATCCTTTATTTTTTTTATTTTTTATTTTTTTTAGGCAGGAAGGAAGGGATGAAGGAAGGAAGGAAGGGAGGAAGCGGGGAGGGAGGGAGGGAGGAAGGGAAGGGAAGAAAGGAAATCAGGCAATGAAAGAGACATTGCCGACCTGGATCTAGAGGTTTACAAGTTGATTTATTTTTTTTTTGAGAGAAGGAAAGAAAAAAAAAAAGTAAAGGAGAGGAAGAAAGAGGAAGAGAAAGAGGGAGAGTAAATGGAAATATTGCTTTATTTTGAAAAAAAAATTGGGTATTAATAATGGCCAATCAATGTTTCATTTAAACTAATGGGTAGGTGTGATGTGGTATTGACAAGAATGTATATTTTGTGTATTTGAAGTGGAGAGCTCTATAAATATTTATTAAGTTTACTTGTTCTGGATCTGAGTTCGAGTTCTTGATATCCTTATTAATTTTCTGTCTCATTGAATCTAAGTCTCCTATCTGGGTGTTAGGATCATTAGCTCTTGTTGTTGCATTGATCCTTTTACCACTATATCTTTGTTGCTTTAAAATCTATTTTATCCGATACAAGAATTGCAACTCCTGCTTTTTATTTATTTATTATTTATTTTTGCTTAAAATTAACAAAATCATGGTGATTTCTTACCTGGGCGAAGAGTACAGTTATAAGCAGCTAAATAGAGAACTCTACTTGGGTTGTTCATATAAAATATTGCTTTGCATTGACCATAAACCTGAAACCAACAAATACATTTTATGACTAGTGAATGCAACTACGAGCTTTAAAAATAACTCCAAAATTAAAGTCAGACATGTTCTTTTAAAGTAATTAGAAACTTAAGATCAACTTTTGTGGTTTTGGTTGGGAGGAACTGCAGTTGATGATCAAACTGTTTAAGCTTTTCCTAGGACACAGCTAGAATACATTTCCCAGTCTCCCCAACAGGTGTGACTGTGTATAACTGAGTTCTAACCACAGGAAGGTGAGCAGGAGGGAGGTGTAACCACTTCCAGATCTGGCTCATAAGGGTCTCCTGTGTTCTCACTGTCCTCTATGCTCTTTCTCTGTGCACAGCTTGATACAGATGAGCAGGTGACCAGGGAAGTCGTGAGCTGAAGCTGGCAGAGCCTAGAGCCACAGTGTGGAATAAACTTGGGTCTCAAATCACCCCTGGAGCAAAGCCCCTGTCTAATCCGGAACTTCTGCTTTCAACTTTACACATATGAGAAATGAACTTCTGTCATGTTAGAGTCAGTATACACTTTTTGTGTATGTGTTTTAGTAGCTAGTGTCCCCATAACAAACATAATTCACAACAGGATGTTCACTTTTCAAAATCAAGCTGGATCCAGTTTGACCAACTGGCTACGTAATTAGGAAAAATATCTTGATCAAATAGTTTGCTTTTAAACACTTATATCACAATCCTGCACTCATATTGTAAAGTTTTATATCAGTTAATGAAAATCACCCCAGGATAATTAAGAATCAAATGAAATGGATTATCTATTTTCACGTCTCTTCTATGATCATCTTTAAAAGATTAATTCTGCAGCACTTATGTTCTGTGGTTTCAGGAAATCCTTACATGGCACTCTTGAGAGCTTTCATACTGCAAGTCATCCATTTTCCTCCCCTCAAAACTCACATCAGTGTCTATTAAAACAAAACAAAACCAAATAAAACAAGTAGACAAAGCTCTACCTCCATTGCTTCTGCAGTCTACATTAACCCCACATCCAGGATACTCACACCTCAGGTCTTTTTCTCACAATTTAAACTCTGGTTCAGAGCCAAAAGGAGGGTCTTGGAGGGAAAAAAAAAAAGTCTTGGGGGCAGCCTTTCCATTCTGTTCTGTATGACCTCAATAGGACTTCTCAGAAACCCCTCTCATGAGTTAAACTTTGTTCTGTCTAGAGCATTAAAATAAACTCATGGGCACCTGCCAGGAGATTATAAAGTGGGACATTTGAAAGATGGCAGACATTGAGCAATCTACATTTCTTTCTACATTTCTTGACCCTGTAGAAAGAGGCACCTACTTGCCTTCCCTAGGGCCCTTAATGGTTTATGAAAACAAGCACTCACCGATTTATGAAACAACCTCACTGTGCAGTCTTGCCATGCCTTCCTACTGAGAACATGGCAGTCAGTCTCAAGCACGTCCAGCGTGAGATAGAACAGAGATCCCAGGCCATCCTGTGGGAAGGGGTGGAGAAATGCAGCATGTTTCACAGGAAGCAGAAACCCAGAAAGACTGCACACAAAAAAATCCCCGCTTTATGGGAAAGCCAAAGGATGTTTGTGAAGATGCCCTACACACCGTTGAACCCGACACAAGTGTCAGAATGGGATCACTGTTAACACTTATTTTTACTAACGGCAAGTGCGTTGTCGCTTACCCTGGCAGAGGAGAACAGTGTTCTCAGCAGGGCTTCCAATTCGGAAAGCACCTCCCATCATGTGACTCTGGGCTCCCCTACCCTGACTAGTCTCTCCAGCTTGCCCACATGCCTGTTACTTGCCTGTCTGTGCTCCTGGGCATCGTTCACTCGGTTGAGGCTCAGCACATAGCCATCCTTTCGGTCTTTGTTAATGTCCCGCAGGGCAAAGCCTGCAACTGCCAGCACATCTGAGTCATTGCAGCCTCCGGAGAGCAGAGGCAAGGGGTTGAGAGCCGGCCTGGGTGGAGACACTGCTCCACAGCACAGGACTAGGGTGCAAAGAGCCAGGGGAAGGAGCAGATCCATTCTGTGGAGAACAAGCCCAAGGATGGGTCAGTTTGTGGAGCTGCAGGGACTGCCCGGCTTGTAAACCTCTTTAAGGCAGACTTGAGCAGTTTTGTTATAATTGGAAGTGCTAATCAAGTTTACCTTGAATTCTGAACTTGGATTTTCCTAAGTCAGTACTTTGGACAGAATTTGCCAATGATTCTAACCTTAGACCCTTGAGCAACCTCATATCCACCTGTGCATACAAACTAATTTTGGTTTCCCAACTGTTTCCTGAGAAATCATAATATTTGTTCAAGTCTCTTATGATTAGATTTTGATTTGCAGGTCCCCTCCTAAATAGGAATATGGAGGACTGTGCCATTCACCCTCTCTACCCTAGCACCTTTGCTGTGGAGATCTTAGCCACTCTAATAGTTATATCAGGTCCCAGTGGTGCTTGGTGAATTCAGACCTCCTGGCTGACAGTCTGCGTGCAAAGCCCTTGTTAGACTAGGAAGGTGGTTGAACCCCACAGTGGTTGAACCCCACGGTCATCTGCCAGAAGCACAGATGAGATTCTTAAGCTCTTTAGCCATCTGGGTGGAAAATGTTCTACTTATTGTCATGTAGGTTATCTTTAAACAATGACTTTACTTAAGGGGAAAAAGTCAGAGACATCAAAAGTTTTCTCATCATATTTCAAGCCTATTCTTCCCTTTATATGTATGGAAGCAAACTTATTAAGAGACTCAAACCTGATACTCTTGCTAAGAGAAAGATACTGAAGGGCAGGTGGGTGGGAACACTAGCAACACAGTGGTTGGGACTATTGACTTCTTTTTGAGCTTCTATTTGTGGTTCAGAAAGGTTCGACTTATTGGAACCACACAAAAGACAATTATCTTTTTTTATTGCATTTTAGGTTTTGGGGTACATGTGAAGAACATGCAATTTTGTTGCATAGGTATATACATGGCAATGTGGTTTGCTGCCTCCCCACCCCCCACTGTCTCTCTCCCCAACAGACCCCAGTGTGTAGTGCTCCCCTCCCTGTGTCCATGTGTTCTCATTGTTCAACACCCGCCTGTGAGTGAGAACATGTTGTGTTTGATTTTCTGTTCTTGTGTCAGTTTGCTGAGAATGATGGTTTCCAGGTTCAATCATGTCCCTACAAAGCACACAAACTCATCGTTTTTATTGCTGCATAGTATTCCATGGTGTATATGTGCCACATTTTCCCTGTCCAGTCTATCATCAATGGGCATTTGGGTTGGTTCCAGGCCTTTGCTATTGTAAACTGTGCTGCAGTGAACATTCGTGTGCATGTATCCTTATAGTAGAACGATTTATAATCCTCTGGATATATACCCAGTAATGGGATTGCTGGGTCGAATGGAATTTCTATTTCTAGGTCCTTGTGGAATTGCCACACTGTCTTCCACAATGATTTAACTACTTTACACTCCTGCCAACAGTGTAAAATGTTGCTATTTCTCCACATCCTCTCCGGCATCTGTTGTCTCCAGATTTTTTAATGATTCCATTCAAACTGGCGTGAGATGGTATCTCAGTGTGCTTTTGATTTGCATTTCTTTAATGACAGTGATGATGAGCATTTTTTTTCTTATGTTTGTTGGCCTCATATATGTCCTCTTTTGTAAAGTGTCTGTTTATGCCCTTTGCCCACTTTTGAATGGGCTTGTTTTTTTCTGTAAATCTGTTTTAGTTCTTTGTAGATTAGCCCTTTGTCAGATGGGTAGATTGCAAACATTTTTTCCCATTCTATTGGTTGCTGGTTCTCTCTAATGATTATTTCTTTTGCTGTACAGAAGCTCTGGAGTTTAATTAGGTCCCATTTGTCTATTTTGGCTTTTGTTGCCAATGCTTTTGGTGTTTTAGTCATGAAGTCCTTGCCTGTGCCTATGTCCTGAATGGTTTTGTCTAGATTTTCTTCTAGGGTTCTTATGGTGTTAGGTCTTATGTTTAAGAAAAGACAATGATCTTTTAAAAACTTTTTATTTCAACAACAACAAAAAACACATATCAGCAGTAGTTTGTTATGAGAGAAAAGAGACAAAGTGGGAAAGAAGCCTCTAGATGAGGTTATCACAGAAGGCATTTTATAAAGTCCTAGTCCATGAGGTAAGTAACCACCCCCTCACTTTCTCCCTACTCTAGCCCTTCTCCTCCCTCCTGTCTCTGTCCGTGTTTAATCAAGTTTAGGAGCTGCTGCATCCCTCTGTGTGCTTGCTGGTACACAGTGGTAGCTATTGGGTAATCCTGATAGTTACTTGTAACTCAACAAGCACTTATTGAGCAACTCCACAAATGCCAGGAACTGAAATAAGATTCTGGGGGAATCAAGGATTGATAAGATTTCTAAGATTAATAAGATATAGTCTGTTATAGTTTAAATATGTCCCCAAAGTTCACATGTTGGAAACTTAATATCAATGTAATGACGTTGAGAGGTGGGACCGTTAATAGGTGATTAGGTCATGAGGGCTCCACCCTCATGAATGGATTATGCCATTATCTGGAAGCAAGTTCCTGATTAAAGGATGTGTTTGGTTCCTTCTTCTCTTCCTCTCACCCATGTGAGGCCTTCCACCATGTTATGATGCAGCATGAAGGCTCTCACCAGGTACAGCCCCTGGATCTTAGACTTCCCAGCCCCATTAACCATGAGCCAAAGCAATTTCTGTTTATTATAAATTACCCAGTCTGTGATATACTGTTATAATTACACAAAACTGACTGAGGCACAGCCCTAATTAATTCCTGGAGGCAAATAGTTTTTGAGGATTGATTTACAAACCCAAATCTAAAGATCCCAGTTCTGTATACATGGGCTGTGGGCATTGGTTTCAAATAGGAAAAATACTAGGAAAATGGGTACAGAAACCAGACATTCATATTCTGGGGTACGACAAAGGTTTGGCTTCAGCCAGTGAGGTGACAAACATTCATTGAGCCTGAGCTATGTACAGAAAGAGGCTGGGAAAGATGTGACACAGAACAAAGAGGAGGAGAATGGTCTGGGGCCTGAGGAATGTATTAGACTTGTATAGCTGAAGGCCATGAGTGCAACTAAAATAAAAGGCAGGCAGCACTGTTTACAATAGCAAAGACCCGGAACCAACCCAAATGCCCATCCACGATAGACTGGATTGGGAAAATGTGGCACATACACACCATGGAATATTATGCAGCAATCAAAAATGATGAGTTTGTGTCCTTTGTAGGGACATGGATGAATTTGGAGAACATCGTTCTCAGCAGACTGACACAAGAACAGAAAATGAAATACCGCATATTCTTGTTCATAGGCAGGTGATGAAAAAAGAGAACACATGGACACAGGGAAGGGAGTACTACACACTGGGGTCTACTGGGGGGAATAGGGGAGGGATAGCCTGGGGAGAAATGCCAAATGTGGGTGAAGGGGAAGATGGCAGCAAAACACACTGCCATGTGTGTACCTATGCAACTATCTTGCATGATCTGCACATGTACCCCAAAACCTAAAATGCAATAAAAAAAAAAAGGCAGGACTCAAACAGATAAAAAGATCCAATAACATGGAACTTGTGCACCACCACCTATGCACCTGGGTTTCAACCCAGTCTCAAAGAACCTGAGCCGGCCTTCTCCTAGGCTGTGGAGTATGGGAGTCCTGGGAGAGGAAGCAAGGGAAGAGGTCAGCCTTCGGTGTCAGGCAGTCTTGGGTTTAAATTCCACCTCTTCCACTGCATGGTAAGAGGGCCTGTGACACTGAGTGTGCCACAGAGCATTTTGTTTCCTTATTCATAAAACAATGGCACTCCCAGCATATGCATACATGCACAGATGCACCTGCCTGTAGAAAGAGAAGGATAGAATTCCTCTTTCCCCAGAAGCCCAACCCAGGTGTTTGCTTTCCATTGCATTTGGGAACAACTTTAGTGTCAGCATGGAAGTTTAGTTTTAGCACAGGAGTGAAGAGCAAGGCTGTGGATATAGAGCAGTCTAGGCTTTGTCAAATACAGTGCTGTCTAATGGAAATAAAATTTCTGGGAGCTACATTCAAAAAGTAAAAAGAAACAGATGATATTAATTTTAACAATGTTTTGCTTAACGTATCAATCCAAAATATTATAATTTCAATATGTGATTAATATGAAAATTATGAGTGGGACAGTTTACATTTTTTGTTTCACACTGTGGCATACCCCAATTTGGACTAGCCACATTGAAGATGCTCAAGGGGGCAGGGCGTGGTGGTTCACACCCATAATCCCAGCACTTTGGGAAGCCAAGGTGGGCAGATCACCTGAGGTCAGGAGTTCAATACCAGCCTGATCAACAAGGAGAAACCTGTCTCTACTAAAAATACAAAAAAAATCAGCCAGGCATGGTGGTGCATGCCTGTAATCCCAGCTACTCAGGAGGCTAAGGTGGGAGAATTGCTTGAACCGAGGAGGCTGAGTTTGTGGTGAGCCGAG